CCAGCTGCAGTCTGGATGTTTTGACTAAAGAAATAAAAAAAGCTGCATTCTTTAAAAGACTTGTTTTATTTATATATTTTATATATGTATTATATATTCCTTTCACACATCACAGGGAAATTGTTACAAGTCCTTATCCTGTAGTGTGAATGTGCGTGCATATGTGTGTGTCATCTAACACATAAACAGGACAAGCAGCAGTGCCAGGCAGATATCTACAGAGCCTGCAAGCTGAGACACACAATAACACTGAGACAAGGCGAGGCAAGTTTATTTGTATAGCACATTTCAAACAAAATGCAACTCAAAGTGCTTTGCATAAAAAATAAAATGATTTTAAGAAAGGACAACATGTAAAAGCAACACAAAGCAACAGTACATCGAAGAGGATTCAATACTATGTATAAAACAACTTTTCAACCAGGATTCCTAAAATACAATAGGAGAAGTCATGAGACCAGGCTACAGTCATATGCTTAACACAGGAGAAGTCATGAGGCGAGAGGCTCCAGGCTGCAGTCATGTTTAACACAGGAAAGGTCATGAGACGAGAGGCTTCAGGCTGCAGTCATATGTTTAACACAGGAGAGGTCATGAGACGAGAGGCTCCAGGCAAAATACAGTCATGTTTAACACAGGAGAGGTCATGAGACAAGAGACTCCAGGCTGCAGTCATATGTTTAACACAGGAGAGGTCATGAGACGAGAGGCTCCAGGCTGCAGTCATATGTTTAACACAGGAGAGGTCATGAGACGAGAGGTTCCAGGCTGCAGTCATGTTTAACACAGGAGAGGTCATGAGACGAGAGGCTCCAGGCTGCAGTCATATGTTTAAAACAACTTTTCTACCAGGAAACTCTACCAGAAATACATTACAAAATACAATATTATGTTTAAAACAACTATAGTGTCAGGCGCTAGCTTTTATTCTGAAATTTAGAAGCAGGAAAATGTACCAGGATTCCTAAAATACATTACAAAATACAATATTATGTTTAAAACAACTATAGTGTCAGGCACGAGCTTTACAAAAAACAATATTATGTTTAAAACAACTATAGTGTCAGACGCGAGCTTTACAAAATACATTATTATGTTTACAACAACTATAGAGTCAGGCGCAAGCTTTTATTCTGAAATTTTGAAGCTCGGGGGGCGTGGCTTCTTTATCACCAGAGGAGAGGTCATGATACCAGAGCCATGAGACGGGAGGCTCCAGGCTGCAGCTATACAGTCTTACTCTCTGCTGGTGTAACGTTATGTTCTTAAAAGTTGTTATTCGTGATTTGAATGCGGTCAAACTGCTGTATGCTGCTCTGTGTAATGTCCCACTTGTCCTGCATGAGTCCCGCAGAGACTTGAGACTGTTAATTTAAGTTTTTAAATTAGTTTTGTTAAAGCATTAGCATGCTAAGTTAGCCTGCTCACTGCTGTCTTCCCTCGCTAGAGTCTGCTCTTTTTTTCAACAGGAGAGTTTATTTCTGTCTGTCGCCACAGGTGTGGGGATGTTTGTTCGTTTGTGTTTAAATAATGTGTTGAGTGTTAATCTCTGGGTCTGTTTGCTCTGTACAACTTGTTGCTGCTCAATGATATGCCTACAGATGCCTGCTGAATGTGATATTAGTCCATTTGGATTTAAATGTTAAAGGACAACTTCGGTATTTTTCAACCTGGGCTCTATTTCCCCATGTGTATGTGTGCGTATGATTCATGGGTACCACTTTTTTTAAAATTGGTTCAGTATTTAGTCGTTAAATTAGCTAAAATGGTAATGGGGGCAAATGTGTCCCGTATAAAAGTGCTTTTTTTCGCCACTGACCGGTTCAGATCGCCAGTGCTATCTCTGTAGATAGCATATTGTAGCGGGCAGTGGTGAGTGTGAATGAGTGGAGTCAGCTGTCAGACAGTGTTGGAGCAGAGAGGCGGAGGGCGGCCCCGCTTGGTACTGTAAATGAGTATGTGTGTGTGAAGACAGTGAAAGCGTGCCTTCAGGAGGCCAATGTTCATTTCAATCCTGGCCCTTGTCCTGGCATGGGCATGATTATAGGCCTGCTGTGCTTCCTGAGGGTCTGTGTATGGTGTGAGGAGAAAAGGCTGGCAGGCATACCCCCTGTCCCCCAGCAACACACCAGAGAATTCACCTGTCAATACAAAATCTCATCATCACAACCTCATAAATAGAGTGACATTCTTGACACAGCCATGATGTAAAAAGTGGTTATTAATAGAGGTTGTGTGGCTCACCTTGTGATAGGCGCTGATTCCAGAGGTCTGAAAGACTTGGGAGTCATGGACCGAGCCGGGCCACTTTGCCACAACATTGCTGATCAGATAGTCAGCAGTCATGGAGCATGAGGAGCAAACATAAGATAAGAGGAACTTTATTTATCCCAAAGGGAAATTCAATTATGTCAGTGAGCTCATCTATTTATCAAAGAGTTACACAGTCTGATGGAGTTACATTTACACAATTTCACTCACATCTGCAGTCAATTTCAGTTAAAATTTCAACTGATTCATAATCAGAGTACAACTATGTTTTCGGAGATGTTAATTAACTATTGGATTGTAATTGTGATGGTTACAGCGGAGCGGTGAGTGTGTATTTGTGCACTACTTACGCATTCAGGCGGTCTGCAACTTTGCCACGCTTTCTCTAGTTGTTTTATTACTGTGGCGGTGTTGTCTTTCTTTATGATTTGATCCTTTACCTCTTCGTAAGCCTCCATGAGGTTTTCTGCCTCTGACGGGGAAAAGTACGCCGCTCTTGTTGCCATGGTGAATCGGTGAATCTGTGATCGATGGCGGGGTCTGTTTGAGGAAGCCGCGTGTGCGCACTGATCGAGGGCTGCATCCCAAGTCTCTTAAAATTACTGCTAACCACCTTATCTAGCCACCTTATCTAACTGTTTAGTCCCTCCCACTTAGGAAAACATGCAAGGAGTCAGGAGTTAGGAGTGAGGAGCAAGGATTGCTGATTAAGAGACATGAGACGGCCTTACTCTGAAGCGTCACGTAAAGCGACGTCCTATTCTGGTGACAGTGCGACAGCTGGATCTGCTGCGTAATGGAGCCAGCGTTTGGCGTACATTCCAAGTACCATTATATTCGCTGATCAACGGTTCAACGGTGATCAACGATTAACGGGGAAAGAACGGTAGAAACCTCAGGAAGAGCAATTGAGGAGGGATCCCTCTTCCAGGACGGACAGACGTGCAATAGATGTCGTACAGAACAGATTAACATGATAAATTAACAGTAATCCGTATGACACAATGAGACAGAGAGACAGAGAGAAACAGAGCGAGAGAGAGAGAGATGCAGGACAGACAGTAGCTTACAACAACATTAATGAAAGTAATAATATTAATTAATATTAATATTAATACTTAATATTACCTACAGGCTATTAAACATTATTCCACTCACATGACATGCAGGACAATTAATGATGGGCAAATGTGTTTGTGTGTTTGTGTGTGTGTGTGTGTGTGTGCGTGCGTGTGTGCGTGCATGCATGCGTGCATGTGTGGTGTTATACAACACTTGTGGTTCTGGACATGAGCAGCTGCACATTTAACAGACAGGGGCAGACTGGCCATCTGGAGGTTCTGGAGAATCACAGAATGGCCGGTACTCCAGGATGGCTGGCGGCTGCCACGCAGTCATCACCGTTTTTTTTAAATGTTTTTTTTTTTTTATCTTTTTCTCCCTGATAATCTACTGTTCCACGTCCAGTCTGCTAGGTGGCAGCCTTTAAATTGGATGCCAGCCTGCCCATAGATATCTATGAGCCGGCCGGCCGCCAATCAAATTAAAGAAAAAGGAAGCACATACCATATGCGCACTGGTTGTTGTGGGCTGGGCCGAGTCAAAGTCCAGGGCTGTTTTTTAGTCCCAGTCCGCCCCTGTTAACAGCCACATATCACCGACAGTCTGCTGAACAACGCAACGGGTTGTGAATGAAATAAACTTAATTACAACATGACAGTCTTGCAGGAAATATCATTAACGTTACTCTTTGTAGTCACGTAGGCATGTGAATGACAGTGTTTCATTGCAAAGAATGCATGTAATGGGTAAACTTGCGCTGTTTCTCCGCCATCTCGTTCAAATGAGACAGACGTAGGGGGCGGGTATTTATACGTCATGGCCTCAAGCTGAAAAAGACTTCCTGTTAGGAACCTCTCGTGTTACCTTACTCATCGCACCTAACAGATCCCTCCTAACTCCTAACGCTAACTCCTTACTGGCAGGAATAAGAGACATGAGACAGCCTTAAAGATGGCGGACCTCGAACGACTTCCGGTGCAAGTCAGGAGTTAGGAGTTAGCAGTATGAAATAAGAGACTTAGGATGCAGCCCAGGATTGGTTTCACCTGGCTTGATGAATCCGTGTCTGCTCATCCTGGCTTGGTCTTTGTGCAACCAATTAAACCTGGACGTTCTTGTTTTGGATTCGTTGAACCCAGCTCAGTCATTTATCCTGAATGTCTGAATCCTACTTTTGTGCAACGGGTCCGAAATCCAGTCAGGCAGGACAGTATGGGAGAAAGGTTGATAAACCTTGTTTCACAGCACCCTGTCCTTTTTGATAAAAGATGGGATGATTTTATGAACAATGAATTAAAGGACAACGTCTGGCAGTCCATTGTCCAGTTTGGTGGCTGCGGTGAGAGTGGTAAGTGCTAAAGAAAGTTGATGTTGACGCCTGTTAAACATTAGCTTGCTAGCTCGCTGCTGCTGCTGCTCCTACTACTACTGCCTACTACTACTACTACTCTCGTCCATGTTCACCCACACCCGTTCATACTGCACGGAATTGGAACACAACAACGCAAAATTCCACACCACGTCCGGTACGCGTGTGTATGGTTTGAACGCGGAAAAGCAAATCCGTCCCGCAGTGAGAATGAACCGTTTGGTTGCCTAATTGTTTGATCTATTTTTTAAAAAAGTAGAATTACAGATGTCATTTATTTTTGTGTTTCCTGATTAACTTTAAATACTGAAGCACTGAAAGCAGAAACTAACATGTCTAAAGGACCAATTTGTGTTATTTTTTGTAATTTAATTTTACTGTGCAGAACTGATTATTTTATTGTAACATTTCATCAAATGTTAAAAAGCCTTTTCTAGCTCACACACAGCTCACGATTTCTGTGTGTTTCTGTTTGTTGCCACAGTTGCCAAGTAAAGATTTAGAGATCCAGTCCTGACTCCTGTGTCTCCTTTCCAACTCGGGACACAACAGAGACAAAATGGAGATGGGTTACATATATTTAATATATGTGAGAGGATGACTCCCAGTGAGAATGGCTACTCAACCCAATGAGACACAGCAAAGACTGTGGTTCACTAGATTGGAATTACTGTCCTATTTCCATGGAGATGGTAAGGACAAATAACATTTTTCCAATCTATAAAACTAGATTTGAGCTTGCAATTAAAGCCTGTGCAGATGGACATACTTCCTACCTGTCTCAGCAGAGATGCACTGGCTGTCATTACCACCAGAGGAGCAGCAAGACTGTGGTGACTGTACAGATAAATGACATTTTGGGAGTAAAGAATTTTTGGTATATTAATTTGTGAGCTTTTATTAGCTTTGGACAGAGCAAGGCTGACTTTTTTTCTCCTGTTTCCCCATATGTGTGTGCGAGCTGCTTGTATTGATGTCATGCCTGTAAAAAAGGAGACTTCGACTTGGAGAAGGTAAGACCATATTTGTGTCTCTGTAAAACTCAGTATATAACTGCATGAATCTATTTTGGAAAGAGAAGCGTTATCAGAATCTGTGATTGACATGTTTAATGTTTTCTCTTGAGCAAATCTTACTATTAAGAATATAATGTTGATAGGAGTAGAGTGATGTGCTGAGTGTAATCTCTAAAGAGAATATTTATCACTCTTTATTTCTGCTCTTATGTGTCTCTCTTAGTTTGGAAGTAAAGTGGCATATTGTTGGCTTTGCTAGAAATGCTCAGTGGCTTGTGGATCACAAGGCAGACATGTACTGCCGTAACTGTATCAACCTGAAGTGAGTGATGATTAATGTCAAATATATTTTCAAATAAAAAAAAAACAACTGATGAATCCTCCAGTGGAAATAATGACCTGGTTCTCTCTTCATTAGCACTGATGGTACCTGCCGTAGAATGATCTGGCCAAGAAAAAAGACACACCTCGATGCTTCACCTTGCGCAGCCAAAGTGAGTGTACACACACACACACAAAATAGAAAATGAATCATAGTCCCTCTCCAGTTACATCAGGTAGGGGGGCAATGATATACTATGATACAGTTTGTTGTAGGGCTGGGCAATTATGGCAAAAGTCAAAATCACGATTAATTTAACTTTTAACCTTGATTATGATTAATGAACGATTATCTCCACCCTTGATGAACAATTATGTATTTTCACAGTTTCTTTTGTTTTGTATTTTACACTGCCCTCACACCTGGATATTTTGTGATATTTTCACATGTGTATCTTTAGGGAGTGAAAATTATAAGGTGTTTTAAGGTGTAACGCTGTGGTTAATGTCTAGTTAGGTTTAGGCACAAACCCACTTGATTAGAACTATGAAAAGATCATAGTTTGGGTTAAAATGATCACTGGAGTTGCCACGCACCAAATTATGTTGGTGTGTGGTATTGGTGTAATATTCCTCCATGTGCCCCTCTTTAACACATTCCCTTGAGGTGTCTGCACAGCCCTGCTTAGCTTGTAAAATAGATACATTGGGTTCAGAAAATTTTCAGACCCCTTCATTATTTTCACATTATGTTGCAGCCTTTTGCTAAAATCATTTAAATTCATTTTTAATCTCATCAATCTACACTCCATATCCCATAATGACAAAGTGAAAACAGAATTTTAGAAATTTTTGCAGTAAGTAAAGTATAGTAAAATATCACCTTGTACTAAGTTTTCAGATCCTTTACTATGACACTTGAAATGTAGCTCAGGTTGCTTCCATTTATCTTGGTCATCTTTGAGATGTTTCTACACCTCGATTGGAGTCCAGCTGTGGTAAATTCAATTGATTGGACATGATTTGGAAAGGCACACACCTGTATATATAAGATCTCACAGCTGACAATGCATATCAGAGGAAAAACCAAGCCATGAGGTGGAAGGAACTGCCTGCAGAGCTCAGAGACAGGATTATGTCGAGGCATAGATCTGGGGAAGGCTACAAACAAAATCTGCTGCATTGAAGGTTCCCAAGAGCACAGTGGTCCCATAATTCTTAAATGGAAGAAGTTTGGAACAACCAGGACTCCTCCTGGAGCTGGTCATCCAGCACAGCTGAGCAATCGGGGTAGAAGGGCCTTGGTAAGAGAGGTGACCAAGAACCTGATGGTCACTCTGGCTGAGCTCCAGAGATCCTAAATGGGAGAAACTTCCAGAAGGTCAACCACTGTAACATTCCACCGATATGGGCTTTATGGCAGAGTGGCCAGATGGAAGCCTCTCCTCAGTGAAAGACACAGGAAAGCTGGCTTGGAGTTTTTCTCACAGTCAGAGTCCTTTAGGTGCTTTTTGCAAACTCCAAGCAGGCCACCCCCTCCCCATGACTATTAAAAACAATGATGTGCAGGCGTGCTCGGCCTGCCAGATCAGCTTGTTATGCATTATCTTGCAACAGCGAACTTTTGCAATCTGTTTCCTACACCAGAAACATTAACATTAAATGTCCTTTTTATTCTCAGTGACAGTTCCATTAATATTTAACTGTAGTATAGAGTTGTATTTGGCTTGTGATTTTTCTAAATTAAAGACGCAGGCAGACAATTGCTCACCATGCTCTTGCCATTTCTGCCTAGACCTAACGAAAGCCCTCTCTGCTTTCAGTTTATATATGTCATCTAATTTGCTTTGCGGCTCACTTAATTTTAATTTCTCCACATCATTTAAAGGGATAGTTCACCCAAAATCAAAATTCTGTTATCACCCACAATTGTGATTTAAGAGGGAGCTGTTCATTTTCCAATAAGATACTTTTTAAAATCCAGATTTATCAAGAAAAAGACAAACATTAATTGTTATTGCCTTGTGATTTGTTAAGGGTGTAGATAAAACCATCATAACCGTGATACTGCCCTTATCAAATGTTTTGGATACAAGCCAAAAGTCTATACGAGAACGTCTGGAACAATCCTTATTACTCCACGTGTAAATTTGACTCTTTGGAAATTTCTCTCTCCATATATCAGTTCTTCCTCAGTTCAGTCCTTGCCTCTGGTTTGATTTATTCTTTTGAGCTTTGTTCCTTCCCATCTTATCTGAGTTCTGTTGTATGGTTGTGCTCTATAGATTTAATTGCAAACTACAACTGTTTAGTAAGTTAAAGATGTGTTGCTGATTACAGCTTGAAGTGGCGATGAGGTCTTAAAATATTTTGAGAAGGTCTTTTAAAAAGGTATCAGGGTTCCTACGCAAGTATGGAAAGTATGGAAAAGTGTGGAAATAAATGTGATCAATTTCCAGGTATTAAAAAGTATGGAAAATGAAAAATAAAGTATGGAAAAATATTTATGTTTCCAGGCTATTACCACTGTTCTAAAATACTGTTTTCTAAAATAGAAAATTAGGTATTTCCAAAAATAATTTAATCAATCCGGATCGTGTTTTATGCCGGGCCAAGCACAGTTTGTGTGAGAGCAAACGTCTCAGAAAACATACCACCCCTTTTACCTGATTGACAAGTGGTATGTCCAGTCTGCTGCCCCATGACCCTCCTCCAGTCCCCAGGTATCAAGTTTCACTCCAACACTGCACCTTAGACAAGAAGACGAGTTTCACATGGTTCACAATGGGTAGATGCAAGTTTTTGGATGGATGGCTTGACAATACCGTATATAAATACTGGTTGGCCAAGGATTCCCAATTCACACACAGAGCTAGATGCAAGCTTTGTGTGAAATCGTTTGACATCGCCAACATGGGGGAGAAGGCGATTCTGAGCCACATGAAAGGAAAAAACTCTGACGTCTCGTTACTGCATTGCTTGCACCCAGAGTCCCAACCTTTTTGCCTCAGCCCAGACATTGAACTTACCTGAGTTTTTATTTGCATGCCATTATGGTACTTGGCCACAATCGCCTATTAAGAATAATTAAATATGATGTGAAATACGATACACTGATATATTTATTCAGATGTCGCATATTCTCTGAAAAAAACAAAACAAAACCAGAGAAGTTTGGAAATTAGGGTATGGAAAAGTATGGAATTTTGAAATTCCAAATGTGTAGGAACCCTGAGGTATTGAAATTAACTTCAGGATTCCTGCATATATTCGGGTAATCTATGATAATAAAAAAGCAACTCAAATTAGAAATGATAATTTCAGTTCTCATGAATGTTTGCCTGTAAAACGCCAAAAGGTTTACATGGATTGTCTAAACAAATGCCTGTTTTCTCTCTAGATGGACAATCGGAGGTATTTAAGGAGGCCCCAGCAGTCAAGCAAGTGAAGAGACAGTTTGAAATGATCTGACAACAGTTTCTCACGCACAGTATGTACTGCCCAAATTTAATGTATCCTAAAATGATTTTTACATTTGTTTCATTTGCAAGAAATTGTTGCAAAGTTTAATGGCTTTGACCTAAGTCCAAATATTGTTGATCATCTTCATAAGCTGCTCCTGTGCTTCACAATTGTGGAACAGAGTCCAGCTCCCAATACACATTCATTGCATTGAGAAAAAGGCCTCAGAATTACTCTAATTGCACATAACAGGCAATAAGTAGATTCTGCTAGTATATGTTAGAAAAACCTATGTAATTATGTCAAATTTTAACCGCCGTCCCACGGGGATATGTTGCTTTTTCACTGCGGTGAAAAAGAATCCATACCATACATCCACAATGTTGACTTGCCTTATAACAAATGTAGACAACCTCATATCAGAGTTGTATTACCCCTGCACATTTTGACGGCTTCTGGACGAAACCAGGTCCATCTCTCTCCAAAAGTTGTGTATAGCACCTTGTATCTTGAGAAACTGCTTTGACACTTAGCTGCTATGCTAACGGCTACTATGAGAGCACAGTCAGACTGAATAATGCAGTGAAACGAAATGGCAATTCTGAGTATCAGGCTAGCAATGCATTGAGTTAAGTATGTGCAGTCAGCTCTCACTGCATACTCAAAAATTCTTGATAATTTAGTATACATGCGGGCGTTTCTTGCACACATAATCCACATACTATGCAGCTGAAACACTACATACTCAATCTGACATACTTAGCATGAATAGTACATTAGTAATACAGTATGATGGACAGCATGACAGCTCCTCAAGTAAAGCCAAAACATCTCAATTGCCCCCTGGCTGTAGTATAGGACATAAAGTCCACCCTCTCCATAATGACAAGTGGAACATGGGCCAAACTCAAAAAAACTCCAAGTACACATAATTTATTTATTTTTTTGTAGATAGGTAGTTCTTATGCTGATGTTACTTACAGATGAAAGATGTTTCTATTTCCAGTTTTGCCTTGCAATTAATGCATATAGAGGTCTAGTCAAAGTAACTTACTTGTAGAGCACAGGAGCAGCTGCTGAAGAAGCTGCTCAATATTTTGGACTTGCAGTATGGACAGTACAACACAAAAGTTATGAATATCACTTTAAAGGAAAAAACTGGTGTGGTGTTTACTTGTTGTAAACATGGCCTGTGAAAACAGCAAAATCTGCAGTGCTTTTCTGTTAATAACTATGGTCCATCTATCCACTGCCAGAAATATATATTTCGTATCATGTAACTATTTGAACTCCATGGTATTCAAAAATAAAACAAGTCACAGATTTGCAATTTTTCTTTGGTCTGCACAGCTTTTTTTAAACAATATTTTTCAAGATAACATACTGATGATTACTGTATGATTATACTACGAGTGTCATGTTTTTGAAAAAGTTTATCATAGATTGTTGCTCATGCCCATGCAGTAGAATAGGAGGGGGCTTTCCAGTGTTACTGGATGGGCGGGGCAGGGAGCTATCCAGTTTCTGCTATTAGGGATTGTGACTGAAAACATGTCATTTGGGTCCAGGGTTTAAGATATTGAAATATTCCAACTTTTTCTTTTTTTTCATATAAAAACAATATTTTAGAAGTCAAACACTATATTGAACAATTATATAAAGTAACTGTTGAATACCTTACATTTACAGAGATTGCCTTAGCTGTTTGTGTAATGACTTACTATCCTTCTTTTTCTGTCAAATGAAAGTTTTGAACAATATTTGTTCAGATTACTAAAATGATTGTTTAATACCCTAAATTTACAGATATTATCTTTAAAAATACTTAACGTATTTTGATGTATAGTGTTTAATTTTCCATTGTCCAATTCTCTAAAATAACTAATACTGTAAATGTCCAGAAATTCCTATTTGATTAAAGGTACATATTTTGTTTATACATTGTATCATTGTTTTTTTTTACTTGGGGAAACCACAATTATGCAGCAAATCAGTGTAGATGGACAAGACGGTTTCATGAAATGACTACTAAATACCCTTAATTTACAGGGACTGGCCTTAAATGTAGCTATTTTTGATGTATTTGCAATGTATTTAGCTGGTTTTTCCACTGTCCAATGGTTGTTTTTTAATATACTAATTCTCTAAAATGACAGATTAATACTGTAAATTTGCAGGTATTTATCTTAAGTTTTATGAACCTACTTCATTTTTATACGTTATAACCTAAAATAGTATTTTAACATGAAATTACTGTAGATAGACTTGGCTGTTTCCTAAAATAAATAATGTACACCGTGAAATTACAGAGATTAATATGAAAGGTATCTGATTTTTAATGTTTTTTGACATAATATCTATGTTATTTTACAGTATAATGGGCATTTATCAGCTATAATATACTGTATTTTAATTAATTTTGACTGTAAAAATCTACTCTGTATTTTTAGTTATTGTACGTAGTTCTGTGATAGTTATTTACTGTCATTTTACAGTATCAGTTTGGAAACTTTGCTGCCAGTGCTTTTACCGTTTTGTTTTTTTTTTTTTTTTTTTACAGTTTTTATAAAGTAATTTAAATGAGCTCCATTAAAAAAATAATCAGTTGTTTACCATTTATGTTTGTTATGAAGCCACACTGTAATTCTATGCAATGTGACCTCTGACAGAACATTGGGTCAATATTATAATATGTATATTTTAGTGTGTTTGCATTCATGCGTACTTTGACTGTTGAGCTGCAGCAAATCAAAACGTGTTTTTTTTCTTCTTAAATGTGTGCTAGGATAGCCACTGGGCTTTTGACATTACCATCAAACTGTATAGGACCATTCAGCTTTTCAAAACGAGTTCACCTAATATAGTTTGAAGTTTTCTAAGTACATTATTCAGAACTCTTTATTGTAGCCTATGAGCCATCTCTGACAAGTGGACCTGCTATTTGTATGCTAAGGGAGGGGGGTAGTACTATCTCCTGCATGAACATACAGCTGACACCATGCACGGATGTAGTAGTCTTCACGGCCGTCGAGATGTGTGTGCAGTGAAACTCGACCTACCTGTTGAGAGGATGCACATGAATTGAAGGAAGTCAGCGTCTCTCCTTTTTTCCAGAAAACACAGACGTGCTGAGTAAGTGTTAGGAACGGCGGAACGCGCAGCCGGAGCGCTGAACCTCCAGGCCTGAAAGGGTTAAACGCTTTTCCCATGTATGGAGCGGCTGACTTGCGCTTAGTTAGGTTGTTGCGGCGCAGAGCTCGTGGACGCGGCGGCGGCGTGCAGCAGCGCACCAGAAGCTGCCAACTTCACAGTAAGCTGCCACTACTACTACACGACTATACAGTCATGTCGGAGCGAAGGAGGATCTCTGGATTTGACAGCGCTCAGTCTTACTACTACTGAGCCTGTATGCGCGAGGGAGAGGGCTGCTTTTTCTGGTTGTGTGGATATCGCCTCCATGGACGGGCAACGGGGCTTTTACGAGATGGAGAAACCGACAGAGAACCCCAGCAAGGCGGCGGAGTATCTGAAGGAGTTGAATAAAATCATCGAGACCCAGCAGGGGCTACTGGTGAAGCAGAGGGTCCGGATTGAAGAGCTGGAGCTTCAGGTGACCGATCTTTGCAAGGAAAACGTCTGTCTTAAAGATCAGCACCAGCGGCACCTGGACACCTGCAGACTCCAGCAGGGGAACCATTGCACCCTGGTAGCCATCAAGGAGAATGTCATGCAAGAAAAGTAAGTTAGCTGTTAATCTATGCCGCATGGTCTGTTTGAGCATGGCGCTATCAAAGTTGACAGTCCTCCTATGTGTCACCAAATTGCTTCCTCCGTGGCTGGAGATGTGTGTGTGTGTAGCTATCTGTATCATGTGTCAGGTGGAACCACGTAACCGAATCAAATGCACATTTCTGTGCTACTTTGTCATGACGTACGTTTGTTTTTTAATGATTCGCAAAATGTCTATACTGTCAGGATTATTCCAGGCTCACAGGCTATGCACACTTTACACACGTATTGCGTAATACGGATCCCGTTAGGAGCGCTCTAGAGTAAATGTCAAAGCATAATATTCTGTAAACGGTATGAGACCATCGTAGTAAAAGTCCAGAGCAGTGGGCGTGACTTTGTTTTGATGAGGACCGGAGAGCATATCGCCGGCCGTGGCGATGGAAGAAACCAAGTTTACCCGTCTTGGTGGTTGCTGAGGCGACAACTGAGGTGGAGATTTTCTGAAGACATCCCCAGGGAATGATGGCGTGATATAGGCTACATTTAATGTGAACAGCAGAGTTGACCGACTTCATTTCCTCATGCACGATCCCTGAATTTGAAACGACGTAGTTGCTTTGGAGAGCTGCCCAGGGCTACTATCACAGTTGATTCAGAAATGTTCCATCGAGGATGCCAAAACATTTAAGGTTAATTGTCTCATGAATGCAAGTATCTAATAGATAGATAGATAGATAGATAGATAGATAGATAGATAGATAGATAGATAGATAGTCTAGGCACAATAAAAGATTGATTTTTCTGTGATGTCCTCTGTATTGTTATAACATATATTGCAATATATTGTGACTGATTACCCTTATTTGACTATGAATTATGTCCCCAAAGGATTTTTTTTTATTTGTGTGTTATCCGTTTTAACTTACAAAATTAGGTTTCAACGACAAAGTTTCTCACTTCATTCATTTTTATTGCAGCAAAATGTATCCAGTGGACTGAAAAGCAATTGGTTTAGTAGTGTACCAAAAGTTTGATTTGTATTTGCAATATTAATCAGTTATATAATGAAAAATAGATAGCCTACTTGGCATCCATGTATCGATTCAATATTGACACACAAGGTACTATGCTGTGTCAATATTTTCCCCCTACCCCTAGTTGCTTATACTACAAACACGATACACACAGTAAATAATAGAAAGATAAGAACAGAACCACAGCAGTGAAATGATAATTGACAGAACTAGAGCTGTCACTAAAGAAGAGTATGTGCCAAAAGAGGAGCTGAAAATGTAACAGTTATGAGTATTATAGATAAAATAACAAACAAATTGAAAATCAATGAATTAACAAAAAACAATGCTGATTGTACATAAGTATAACATACCCTGATTGAAAAATAGAAACTGTGCAAATTATTGTGAAAATCTGATTAAAAGGTAAATGTATAAACTAACAAACACATACAAATGCAAACTGTGCCAAATGTAAATTAGTCAGTAAGTGACTTATAGTCCAACAGCCTGATAACCCCAGCTGGCACTGGACATCAATATGACGTCAGAAAGACGTCGGACTCTTGCGTCAGACAGACATTTAATTTTGGTTGGAATGAAAATTGGGTGGACGATATTTTAAACGTCTAACAATGTTAGAATTTCACATTGTGTGGACATTCATAGTATGATGTTTTGCAGACATTGGGTGTTGTTCGTCGTACCTTACGACTAAATGCGTTAATATACACCAAGATGACATTGGCGTGAGACGTTTCAAGGACGATTTTGGTGACTACAGTTTTTGAATTTGGTTCAGTATTTAGCGAGAGGGCTGCTGACAGCTGCACATCATGCTGCAATTTAAGCATATGGGGCAACTGAACATGGTCACTGTATGTCCATTAAACATCAGGGTTTCTCACACATTCATTTATTTGTAGTGGACCACCACAATTTAAACCTCTGCCACCACATTATGATTTGCTCCACAGGCGGAGCATCAGAATGCCAGGCACAGTGAAACTGAAACTTTAGCATCCATTGTGATGGATTTAAAGTTTGCTCTCATTCACATACAGCTGCTCCTCTCATCCATTGATCGATCTGATAAGCTCTGATCAGATAGACTTATCAATTATCCACCCTGTGACTCAAAACTCCACAAACTGCTGCTAAAGGACAAAAAAGAAGAGTTATGTCTGTGCTGCATTCAGGGACCTGCAAAAACCTGAGAATTTAGAAACACGGGCAAGACAAAAAAAAGTTAGCCTCACCCCTTTTTCCTGTCTTCAACTACTGCCACACATAGATTGTAATTTTGTGGGAAACAATAAAAGTGGTTATTTTGGATACAGACAGACTCAGATTTTTTATTACAAGTGTCTGAAGTGTCTCTTTCAATGGCGATTTGAGGGGTGGCCTGGCCACCCCTGAAAACTCATTGGCCACCCCTGTGGCCACCCCAGATCTGATAGGTAGTTGGTCAAGTCCGTCAACAAAAGAAACAAGAGAAATGCTGCCAATCAATGATGACAGGTAATCAGCTGATTTAGGGCCAGTTTTACATTTTTAACTAACACAGTAATGGTCGTACTGAGGCTGTGACAGCTGATTTCTGCTCAGCTGACGTTTGGCCAATGGCCACGCAGGTCTGATAGGTGAGCCATCAGCCATAAGATGAGCACGCCGCATCTGCTGCTGCTGCTGCTAATGAAACAGGAGGATGGTCACAGTGACAACGTCAACTGCAGAACTGCTGGATAAAAACAGCACGCTGAATCAAAGCCAACGTTTCAATTTATGCCTTCATCAGGGCCCTGGACATGAATACTGTCTGGGTTGAAAACCACTTTTTGCACATTTTCATACAGTGCTGTAGCATTGTTTCGACCTCTCATTGTTCCGACCTCTCATTAGTCCGACGTCCCGTTGTTCCGATATGTGATTATTACTGTATTTGTGTACCATAGAGGATCAGCAACGCAACAAAAGTAGGCTACTCGAGATAGTCGAGATACAAGTGCCATAGAGAGTAGAGAGTGAAACACCATAACCTCCTGTTATTAACTCTGGGGTCCGGGTTGTGTGGGGAGCTTTCCGCGGTGCTGAACGGCTCCCAGCGGGCGTATTTCTACCTTGATGGTGCGCCGCGACCGGCTCTGGGT